TACAATTGTATGCAATCTTCCACGTTTTTCAGAATATTACACCGCACTTCAAAGTCAAAGAATTACTTTTGAACTGCAGTCAGTTTGTGCTAATCAACTTTCTCAAAAAACAAGCACCATATTTTAGCAATAGTAAATGAGAGATACATGTTTGGCTGGACATAAACATTTTTCCCTACTGTTTTTTGAATTGTGTCCTGAGAGCGAACTATACAGTAAATGGAAAAGCCCTGGGGAAAATTGATGCACAGAGAGATCTGGGTGTTCAGGTCCATTGAACCCTGAAGGTGGCAACACAGCTCGATAGAGTGGTTAAGAAGGCATGCGGCATGCTTTCATTCATCGGACGGGGTATTGAGTACAAGAGTTGGCAGGTCATGTTAGGTTGTATAGGACTTTGGTTCGACCACACTTGGAATACTGCATACAGTTCTGGTCGCCACATTACCAAAAGGATGTGGATGCTTTGGAGAGGGTGCAGAGGAGGTTCACCAGGATGTTGCCTGGTATTGAGGGTGCTAGTTATGAAGAGAGGTTGAGTAGATTAGGATTATTTACATTAGAAAGACGGAGGTTGAGGGGGGACCTGATTGAGGTCTACAAAATCATGAGAGGTATAGACAGGGTGGATAGCAAGAAGCTTTTCCTAGAGTGGGGGACTCAATTACTAGGGGTCACGATTTCAAGGTGAAAGGGGAAAAGTTTAAGGGAGATATGCGTGGAAAGTTCTTTACGCAGAGGGTGGTGGGTGCCTGGAACACGTTGCCAGCGGAGGTGGTGGAGGTGGGCACGATAGCATCATTTAAGATGTATCTAGACAGATACATGCATGGGCAGGGAGCAGAGGGATACAGATCTTTGGAAAATAGGCGACAGGTTTAGATAGAAAATCTAGATTGGCGCAGGCTTGGAGGACCGAAGGGCCTGTTCCTGTGCTGTAATTTACTTTGTTCTTTGAGATTTTATTATATCTATTTAATACTGTGGATGTGTTTCACATGGAAATCAGCCTCTATTACAATCCAGTATCACCTCAGCACTGCATTTAAGGATTATCAGAGTATTGTTATGATCACTACTGAGGTTCTTGAATTTTACAAAGAAGTTTGAACTTTCAGTTGATAACTGAAACAAGGACACAATGTGATTTCATGCTTTAAGACATTTACTGTAACAAACAGACTAAAATACTATTGAACAAACATTATTTTGTAGGCAATTTATATTTTAAACTATGTAATCAAATTTTCCCCTTTTACATTTAACACAACTGAAAATCCTGCTTTACAGATATATTTTACACGGTGCCTTCAGTACAAATTCAACTCTCTGGGAGCCAGTCCAAAGTGATTCTTAGCTCATGAAGGTTTTATTTCTATTCCATTCCTTTTCTTTTCCAGCTTGGTTGCTCTTAAACTCAGAACTGTCTTAAACACTAGGATTTTCTCTTTAGCTCAAATTAGATGAATCTTCTAGCCTTGCTTCAAATCCTCAGAAATTTGGCCTTTTTAATCCAAATGCAAGTTCCAACCCACATTCCTGTGTAGTGAGCCAAAGAGTCCTTACCCTATTCCTCCTCACTATTCACAGCTCCCCCAATCTTTGTCTCACCCACAAACTTACTAATTAGACCACCTACATTTCTCCTCCAAATCATCTATATATATCACAAACAACAGAGGTCCCAGCACAGTTCCCTGCAGAACAAAGTAACCACTTTGGTTTTCAAGTCAGGAGTTATCTTCATCCAGAATTTCAGAAGATGAAAGGAAAAATGCCAGCTGCATAACAGTGAAGTAATTTGGGTTAATAATGGAATGCAGATACATGGAAATAACGTTCTCAGCAGTTATCAGTGAGACTCTGATTTCATTGCTGAAATCTTAAGGGGTAAATTGGAATTTATTTCTCAACATCAAAAATCAGCATTTTTCATTCTCACTATATTGACCCACATTTCTCACCATTGCTCACGTTGCTCAGGGCATGGGAAATTCCACCGCATATGTGGCATTCTCTGCAAAAAACTATTGGAGGTGATGTCACATCCACCTAATTTCTATCATTCTGCCATTTCCGAAGAAAACAAAATGGCAGAATTGAGTAATAACTGTGCACAGCTCAGGCCTTAAACGTTAATAAAGTATAGATTTTCCTAGTATTTTTGCATTACTTCATTCCAGCATTGCATTATCAAATTAGAGCTGTTGTGTGACTCTTATAGATGTTGGTTTCTTTTAAATTGGGCACACCGTGGCCTCTCATATTTGTAAAGAGAGAGAGAGAGAGAGAATGTACTCACAATTGATCCCCCATTATGATTGCTGTGCTTTAGTAGAATTATAGCCTTCAGTCTTGCTTGTTAGATGTGAACTTCAACTCTGGACTCAGGCACATGATGGGTTGACAGTCAAGAAAATGACTTTTCACAACTTGCCATCACTGCCATAATCTGTTCAGCCTTTGGTACCAAATTGCTGAAATTGATTTTTAGTCTGTGTGAATTTTAGTCTGTATCACTTGTGCGACTGTAGTTTTCAAATGTTAGCCTATGTAAAATGTGCCTTAGAGATTCAGGCTCATATTGAGACAGATATCCAGAATTTTATTAACAACTATGTATACTAATATGACATCTCAGACTTACATAGAGCTTGGTTATGGTTTACTTCTAGGTATGATTACCTATACTACTATTACATTATATACATAGTTGACTGGCTGATTGACTGCTTCATAGAACAATAGACTGACTAACCAATACAGATTGGTCCATTAGCTGACACACTAACTACAGAGGGCAAGATGGAGACCTTTTATTCTAGGCCAGTGGTCTTAAATGTATAGTGCCTTTCTGAGGATGTGTAATATTATAAAAAGCTTATTAAAGATTGTTTTTACGTTTTCCACTTGCCTGAAAAATGAAGAAGGTCTAGGCCCGAAATGTCAGCTTTCCTGCTCCTTGGCCTGCTGTGTTCATCCAGCTCAACACCTTGTTATCTCAGATTCTCCAGCATCGGCAGTTCCTACTATCTCTGAAATAGTTTTTGTTCTCTTAGAGATTGCTTCCTTGTCCAGTTCATAGACTCTTTTCACCCTTCAAAGATGTCCACTAAGCTTGAGAACTGAAGATTCAGGTCCCTGTTCGATCATTTAATTAGATAGCAGCTGAAAGATTTGATTTCATTTCATGCCCTCAGTCTAACACACTCAAAATCTTCAAATTACTTAAAAGAATGGTACTACAAAAAAAAAGGGAGGCAGGAAAATATCAGCTGGTCCAGCAAACATGCTCCACGCAACAACTCAACACCTGCAGTGTCATAAACTGCCCAAAGCCAGGAATCAAAAAGGAAAAATAACTCAGGCTAAAGAGGGAATTTCGAGAAAACCTGGGAAATTCCTCTCCAATCCTCTCAGCCAATCAAACAGCACTCAGTAGATTTCATTGATCCTGCATCTGCTGACTGTTTAAACACTAATTGTTTGTTTTCTAAGATGATTTCTGCCTCTACCAGAAGGTCTAGTCCCCTTTGAAGATGTGTAGAAAATTAGCATGTAGAGTATGAGGTACTAATGAAATTTGTAGGCAGACATATCATCCTATGAGTCTCGATCACCCTTTACCTTGCCCTTGACAACATCAGCCTAAGTCAACTGTAGGGAAAGGGAAGTAAAACAATATTTTAATTAATTACAGAAATGAGGGATTTTAATGGCAATGGGAAATGTTAACATACCATTTTTTCAATAAATTAATTTTATTTTTGCCTGTCTTTTCAAATCTGGGGATTCACTTTGCAGGAAGGTGCTTCACAGGACCATTGCAAAATCAAGTACAACTTATAAAATTAAAGTAAAATTGCAAACAAAATTTTGAAAAAAATGTGCACACAAGGAATGGATTGTGACACATATCTTACCTATCCTGATTTATGAAATTTCATCATGACCAACCATGCTTTCAACTGTCAATGCCATAAGCCTTGTAATATGCTCCTTAAGCATCTCCAATTCTCTATTTTTAAGTTACTACTTTAAACCTACCTCTTCTTCTCTATGCTTTTGTTCACTTGTCCAACTTTCTCCATATAACTTGGTCTCAATTTTGTCAGATAATGCTCCTGTGAAGCACCTCAGGACATCTTGACAACGTTACAAATGCTAGACTAATGCAAGTTTTTGTTGTTATTGTCTGAAAACTTAGCCATAAACCAAAGAAAAACTGAAATTATGGATTTTTTTTCCGAAATACAAGGTGAAAATTAATGCAAGGACAGAGCAGTACAAATTCATTTCAAGAAATGTAAGTACGCTAATGCAGAGGGTTGTTAAATTCACCAGTGCTTAATGGCGCTTTCAAAATTCTGAAAAAAAAATTAAACTGTTTATTTTGACAAGATTGTTCATCTGGGGGAATGTATACTCCATTGCTGCCAAAAGCAAAATATCATGTGCTGCAAAGAAAGGGACAATTTACTAAAGTACATGTTTTACACATCAGTGTCCCAGCATCAGTTAGTCTTAGGTAAATAAACATTTGCTAACTGACAAGGCTAACATGTACAATTGCCAAATTCATGCAAACTAATCCAGTTTTATAATATGCATTTTAGGTGTGAAACTGCTGAGATTTGTTTAAATCTGTAAGTAATATCAATGGTGTTTCTTTTAATGAACCGTTAAGGATCCTGTTTTTTTTCCATGAAGTCGTATCAGTTCATATAACATCAACAAATTATATGGCACATACCAAAAAAGTTACATTGTTATTGGTATAAAATGTCACTAATGTCACACGCACCACCCATAAACCGAAAAATGATTTAACATTGTATTTGGCCTTGAAGTGTTCTACTTAGTTCCCGACCTACAAACTTCACAAAGGCTATCTCATGTTGTTGGAGCTGGTTCAATACAAGGCTACAATATTGAAACCCAATTTTACGGGGCTGAGCCACGAAGAACTGATAAAGTGAGCACCTTAAGAATTTTCTCACCTGCAAAGAGGTTTGTTCATTAGTAAGTTCTTGAGGTTCTGAAAGAGTTTGATCAGCCATAAAGAGCCTGCTGCTGTTTCTGCTGCTTTTGAGTTCCAGAAAAGAGGAAAATATCATCAAAATTATGTCAACTGAATTAAACAGGTCAACTGAAGCAATGTGGTTGGCCTATTGAACAAATTAGTAATAAAGATAGTGGAACAGAAAAGGTTTCAAATGTTATAAATGAGAGAGATATCCTTCAGGAAAGAAAGGTAATGTTAGACAGTCTTATCCAGTTTGTAATCTGTGATATGGTTAGCATATCAAAACAATTTGTTGTGTGACATGCATAAAATGAGTAATAATTACATTGAGACAGATTTTCAGCCTCACATCCTAGGCAGAACTTTGGCAGAGCAGAGAACCTTTCGCAACAAAAATAAAAATTGCTGGAAAATCTCAGCAGGTCTGTGCCAGCATCTGTGGAGAGAAAACAGAGTTAACATTTTGGGTCCAGTGACCCTTCC